ATGATTGTATATCGAATTGTTATGATCTTCCGAATAATGTATAAATACCTCTGTGTACGTGCATCATTTTTCAAACTCTCAACGACGTCTAACATGATATCATTTAAATGATAAGACTTACATATAGCCATGAGAAAGTTTATATTTTGATCATTATTTATCGTTTGTTTCCTTAAAAATAACAGGATTAGTTGAAAAGATAAAAATTAATAAAACAATCTTTAAAAATAAAGCCTCTCTTCCCTTTTCATTAATTTCACCAGTGAAGTTAAATTTTTAGAGAATTTTTTCCTTATAATTAAGTAATTTACCGGAAAAGAGAAATTTCTCGACAACTTCTGCCACCCAAACCTTCTCTGCCTTTTTTTTCATTTCTTCCCATCTTAAGAAAATTCTTCACTTAGTTGCTTTTTCAATCTTTCTCTGAACAAATGTATATCAAACTTGTTACGATTTTTAACGGAATACTTTCAGGTTGAATGATAATCTCAAGCTAACTTCGATGAAAGCATGCTTATTTAAAACTTTTCTGGAAACGAATGATCCACACTTGGATAAGATCGCTAATTCAAATCGTGTTTCAGGGTCACTATAGCCCAGGTTATTCGAGGCGACGAAAGAAGCCACGGAATATAAATTGCCGCAATCACCATCGTTACATGTTCTGAACTGTTCCATTTTTGTGACCTCAATTCTATATATTGAATTTTATAATACATCTCCCTTACATTCTTCACCTTGTGACCTTTCTTCCCTGTTAACCTAATTTTCTGGATAAACTGTAAATCCTTCATTACTATATATACATTGAATGCATATCAACGTAATTCATCTTGAATGTCTGAACAATAATGAAACATGATGCATGATATAGAAATATGAATGAAATTAATGGATTAATTTGAACATAAAACATTTCTGCACAATGCAACACCAATATGTTTACATAAAGGTCTGTAAAGTAAATTTCGACAACATTATTATATGCATTAATCTGCATATTTAACAACAAACTCAACACAAAAACAAATTAAAAAACTATTATAATGCTACATTCCACATTCATTTCCATCATAAATATATTAAAGCAATAGTCTTGTATTACTCTGAATATTACTATTTTTCGAAATTCGTTTAACTCCAAATTTTAATTAGATAAACACGAAGAAAAAATATAAATGTCACTTTTGCACAATGTTTCTGAGATCAGGCGCATCGGTGAAGGCATAACCATTAGCAGTATCAGCTAATTTTAGTATATTCAGCATATGTTTTCTGCTTGTAACATCCAAACCCGTAAAATTTACCAAATCATAATCGCCTATCACCGAACAGAGCATTTCATTCAATCCTTTATATTGTTTGAGTATTGGTGACTCCTAAAAATTCTCTTTGCGAACAAAGAAATAATCATTGTCATTATTTGTTACCTCAGTGGTGTGGAAAATAATCCATATCGTATTAGATGTAAAGAGGTAAGCATCCCATATCCTCTTATATTTACAAATGTTTCTGAACGAGTTAGCATAATAAGCTGAGTCACTGAAAAAATATTGCCTTGAAAATACTCACATCAAGCAATTCGACCAACCGTGACGCATCCGGAAGTTGTTCAAAAAACTCGAAGTTGTACGGCAAGTCATTGTCTTCTAATAAATCCTGCTTCGATAACACATTAATTTGGGCACATTCCAGGTTTATCATGATTGAAAGTGCACTTAACAATACCGAGATGAATTTACCTGCATCCGAACAATAGAGACTATCACTGAGATGCACAGCAACCAGACGGAGACCCCATTTTTCCATCTTAAAATTGAATTGAATGAGTTTGTTCAAATCTAGCTGATTACTACAGTCTCCATTTTACAGACAATAAGGAATGAGTTCTTAAGATTGAGTTCAGGAATAAATCTTACGTGTTCTAAAAAAAATAAACAATTACCTAGCCAACAAGTTCATGAACTCCATTGTTGGACCGCAAGAATTTTTGCAATGCTTGACAATGTTCAAAACTAGCTACAACTAAATTCTACTTTAACAGTGCCAAATGATACTTTCAAAAATCCGTTGTGAACATTTCGATATTAGGACTGCTTTAAAGAGGCAAGAAAAATAAATATGAAGTGACCATAGCATGACTAAGAATATAACTGCGAAAAAGTTACGCTATGGATAATAGATGTAATGCAGTCGTCACTATTGTATAGCTCGAGCTGTCCCGGGAAATCAAAAAGTAAATATCCATCTACATGCGACAATTTTAGTCGTAACCATTCCATATTCTTCTTCAAAGTTTGCATACAATACCTGAAAAAGATTAAAGACAACATTGCATTAAAGTTAAACCAAGTCCGCATCATATGCTTCGAGAACACTAAGAAACATTCTGAAACAAAGAAGAGCCATCCGTATATTCAGATATTTTTAACTATAATAATACCGAAAGCTAAATTTGCTGAACCTTATAAGATGATTAAGTGGAAAAAAAATTCAAACTTCTGAACTCCAAATTTAGGAGCAATCATTAAGAGGGTGTTGTTGAATTATTATCATATTAAATGATATACAAACAAACCTTAATGCTCCATTAGGGCCAAGATTCAATCGACTGGTGATATCCTCCACTTTCACCAATTCTCGAATATCAATATCACATTTGTATGGAACATAATCATTTGCCGGATCTAAATTCACGCAAATCACAGGTCGGTCAAGCTGTGATAAAATCTGACTCATGCCATCACAATAAGTTGTCTTCCCTGCACCTGGTGCACCAATAACGATTTGCCCGAACATTATCGATTCATCATTTTTAATTTCAAATAAGTAGCATTCCTAGAAATACTGCATTTATTGATTTATATAGAAATTCCGGAAAATTATTTCAATGTATTCACGGATGATAAACAATGACAAAACAATTTGCATCAATCATCACATATATATACATACAATTACCGCTTTATATTTACTCCATACTTCAAAATATCAACATTCTCAATGGGTCCTTTAGCCCACCCTTACCCTTATCTGCACGGTCTTTCAGCCCATCCTTACCCATACCTGCATCATTCCAGTCCACCGTTCCCTCTCAATATTTTTAAACTCTTTTATAGTTGCTAATTTTCTCATTTCCTGTCTTTGTCCTGTCCTGTGATCCGGGTATCTCTTTCCCGTTTTCTCTCCACTTTCAACCAGAAACATTAGCAATCTGGTCATCATTCCCAAATCAATAACACATCTCTCCTCTATTACCCGCATCCCGAGATATCGCAATACCGCTATCTCACAAATTACAAAAGGTTCCATCGTATTGCTCGAAGTTTCCGTACAAATTTTTCGGTTTGTGTGAGACGAATTTTCCTCATTGCTACTATTGGCAAATTGCCTTACATAGTTGCTGTTGTCGACTGTCAGCAATACTGTCCGGGTGGGTGTAATATTTTGAAATTTCAGCTAATGTATTTAAGGAGAAGTATCGTTTGATCGTATCCAACGCTCTCGATGATAGCATGGTGACAAGCAACGTTAAACATCACCTCGATCTTTTTGGAATGGACACGTCTTATTTTTGTTATCCTCAGCAGTGCATATAATTTTTTTTTTTTTGTGGATAAGTAAGAATGTTACTTTTTCGTGATTTTCTTGCAGATTTATTGGTCATTACATTTCATATAAAATGATATATATTTCAGGTGTTGTATTATTGTTTGCTATTTGGTTGTGTATCGAAGGCAGGTTGTGTGGCAACGAAGTACGGCCTTTTTTTAAAAAAAAAAAAAATAGGACAAAGAAAATTGGTGTGAAAAGATAGTAACGATTGTGCAATTATTATTCCATAACTATCCTAAAAAAAAACAGTACGGAAAAAACGTTGAAAATTAAGAGTAAGGGATTCTGCTCGAATGTCGCTAGGAAGTGACGAGGCGATGGATGATGATGATGCGTTTTCGGGTGGCTCGGAAAGTGATGCCACGTCAACGTATAGTGATGATGATGGTATTGTGATTGATCCACCTGTGATGAAAACGGAACGTGGTGGTAGTCATGACAGTGAATCAGCTGATTTCCAGGTGTCTTATTGAATTTTGAGCTGAAAATGATAAGACATTGGTTAGATGGAATGGTTGAAAAACAGTTTAACTTAAAGATAATCATAAGATGTTTAACACCAGAAAGGATAAGTTTCAGTAACTGGACATAACTATTCGATCCATTTGCAGGAAACCATTTCAACTTGCTAATGCAAATACATATGGTGCACAAACTGTTCTGAGTTAACCGTTTTCATCTGAGTTAATGGACTGTAATAGTTTAAACGTCATCATATTTTGATTTGTTCAGCAAGATTCAATGAACTGTTAGAGAAACGTTAAAATTGGGAAAAAAATTTATTAAATCCGAATAACATGAATATAAAGCGATTGTAAGCAAAACATTCTACAATAATTTTTTCCAATACTTTTTTCTTATTTCAATGATCTTAAGTTTATAATGGTCAAGGATATTGAAAGACGAGCGGTACTAAAACAGCCAAGTAGTTTTAGATTAATTTCCAAACAGAACTGTATTTTTATTAATTCTTTCCAATTACCATTATAAACTTAAGGTCATTGGAATAAGAAAAAAAGTATTGTGATTTGAAAAAATAAAGCACAACATTATTAATTGTTTGGTTTTAGTGTTCCAAATTCATAATATAACATTCCCGTTCTTTTTTCTTAGAAGTATAGAGTTTCTGTGTTTTCTGTATTCACTTTGCAATGTTCCCTTCTTTCTCTCTGTTTATTGTTCCAGTTATAGGCAAAGCCAAGAAGAAAAAAACATTATTTTGAAATTTCCTAAGTTTTCCTAAAACTTCGCTTCGTCTTCATGTGCTGCAGTATTTAGAGTACAACCTAGAACTCAGCATTCAGTATAATAAAAAAATGTTAGTGTTAGTTCGATTTAGAAAGTGCTGTTACAGCAGTGATTTCTTATAATTGCTGTGCATTTTTCTACTTTCTTCGATGCTTATTCACTGCCTTCCAGACTATATGGAGCTAACTAGACTGACCAGTATTGTATGTGACAAAAATAGTAATGAACACGAAAAAAAATGTTCTATAATAAATTACGAGCATTCCATCCGATTTTAAACTGTTTTTCGTAACAGAAGCTTACCAGATTAAAATAAATCCAAAGTGTCAGACGGATGTTTCTGAATTTAACAGGATCAGTAACGGATATATTGACGCATTGTTTACTGAAGAAATTTCTAGGTATTGGATGCCGAAAAGGTGGCTTTGAAAATGAATAAAATCATAGAGGATGTTGCATCAGTGTTACGTCTATCGACAACTATCTGTAGATTACTTTTGCATCATTATAAGTGGAATAAAGAAAGCTTACTAGAAAGGTATGTCGTCTTTCATACGAATTATTCTAAACTCTTTGGTTAGCATGTTTCGTTCAAGATTTTGGTGACTCTCTTTCTTCATTGCACAATTCATATCTTATGTTCTTTATAAAATTTTTCATTCTAATTATGCTTTTTATTCGTTGAAATCCTTAAAACATTAAAGGTTTTATGAAAGCACCGATATGGATTCGTTTTTCTTGGACGCCAACATTATTTCACCGTTTAAAGTGACACGCCGGGGTGATGAAGGGTTTGCAGATGTTGTTGATACGTGTGTTATCTGCTGTAATCGTACCATTTTGACAAGCCTGCAATGCAATCATCGTTTCTGTTATCCATGCTGGGATTCCTATTTAACAACTAAGGTAGGTGGGTAAGGCCAGAATGAGGGATTCAGAATCTAATTGGAAATTGTTCACAAGCTCTCGGTGGTGCTCATTTGTCTTTTAGAGGACATGAAAGAAAGCTAATACTATTCAAATTTAGATTATGGAAGAAGGCAAAGCTCATGTCGCTTGTCCTCAACACAACTGTGCAATCATAGTTGATGACGAGAAAACTTTGGCGCTAGTAAAAAGTGAAAATGCAAAGAAAAGATATCGTCGTTTGATAATCAATAGTTTTGTAGAGGTATTTGAAAATCAAATCAAAGTGTCGCAGTTATTTGCTAATATACTTATCTGAAACTGTCAGCTAGTGTACAGGATAGTATTTCTGTGGTTTGCTTAAAGCATTTTTTAAAGGTGCTCCAACGCCGAGGTTTTTTAGCTCTTACTACTACTACAGTGAGCTGTTTTGATAAAGCTATGGATTTCGCGGAAAGCTTGTGAATGTTCGAAGCAAAGGTTATGTGAATTTTTTCTCTTATTTATTCAATTTTAGTGTAATCGTTTGTTGCGATGGTGCCCGGCTGCAGACTGCGGACGTGTCGTTGAAGTAGGACATTTGGAAGCACGTCCCGTCAAATGTACTTGTGGTACAGTTTTTTGTTTCGCATGTGGACACGAGTGGCACGAACCTGTCAATTGTAGACTGCTGAAGCTGTGGATTAAGAAATGTAACGACGACAGTGAAACTAGCAATTGGATATCAGCAAATACCAAAGAATGTCCCAAATGTCAGGTAAGCTATTTGTTTAGCAGTTTTGAAACTTTTGCTTCAGGCCAAATTTACATTTTTCCATTTTTGATTTTATCAGTTTTTTTCTGATGAGATATATCAGTGATTGAGATAAGACCTTCTTTGAGTTTATAATCCCGCAGCTCATGTAAACTATCGAAAATGTAGAATTTCCAAAGGAATGTACAGCAGTTTCGACATCTGTTGAGAAAGTGAAAAATTCGGAAGATATGAAATGCGAATCGCCACTTTAAGATTGTAAGGGGGAAGGAAAGATATAGTGTAAGTCCTGTTTGTCTGTATGTTTTCTTCACTTCCAATGTAGCTTCCAGTCTGTATTGTAGAATAATCCTGGAGTGTGGATAAAAAGAGCTTAGCTTTTAAAAGTAAAATTTTCTTTTTTTGTAGGTAACGATAGAAAAGGACGGTGGATGCAATCATATGACGTGCAAGAATGTGGCTTGTAAAATGGAATTTTGTTGGATGTGTCTTGGTCCGTGGGAACCGCATGGCAGTTCATGGTATTCTTGTAATCGATATGATGATACATTGGCGAAACAAGCACGTGATGCTCAAGAACGAAGTCGCGCTGCACTTCAAAGATACTTGCACTATTACAATCGATATATGAATCATCAACAAAGCTTGAAATTGGAACATAAAGTGAGTATGTAGAAAATGTCATTCAAATTTAGAAATAACAGACAAGATGTCTCAGTTAGACATGAAAAGTTTACGGGAACTGAAATAATTCCTGTGAGAGGCTTCTTTAATCGCGGACAATCTTTGAAGATCCATTCTGCAATATTCGAAGCTTAATTTTATTTGATTTTCTGATTCATGATTCCTTATTTTAAGCTCTATTCAATTGTAAAGTCCAAAATGGAAGTTATGCAGCAGGCAAATATGTCTTGGATCGAGGTGCAATTTTTGCGTAAAGCGGTCGATGTCCTTTCGGAATGCCGTCGTACACTGATGTACACATATGCATTTGCGTTTTATCTACAAAAAGATAATCAATCAGTAATATTTGAAGAGAATCAGCGTGATCTGGAACATGCTACCGAACAGTTGTCGGAGTTTTTGGAGAGAGACCTGGATCATGAAAATCTCGTTAGTTTGAAACAAAAGGTAATTTCTTGTTTGCAGGTTATGTTCCACAAAAACAGTAGAATTTACAACTGTAAGATAGTACTGAAACAGCAAATCGACTTCAAAAATTTGAAGACGTCCATACATAGTCCAGTTAATAATCATCTGTCAGAGGTGGATTTCATAGAGGCACTTAACCTTTTGATTCAGAAGAATATGCACTTTCCTTCTTATGAAGCCGCGTCACTACTATAAGATGGCATGTATTGATAGTTCTGATAATTTGATAGATGGGCTTAGTGCTTTGTTGTAATGGTAATATGTTTGTCGGGGAGGCAAATAATTGATATGCATTTTTTTCTTTCAGGTACAAGATAAATATCGTTACGTGGAGCAGAGACGGACAACACTATTAAAACATTGTGCAGAAGGAGTGGAGCATGATTTTTGGAGGTTCACCGTCTAAATATTATGGATGGAATTGGAAATTCACTTCTCAACAATGCTATCCTGCCCCTTTCCTTTTTTTCTTTCTCTTCCTCGTTCCTCTCCCGTTCCGTCCTTGGTTTGTCTCTATGAATTTGTCCTAATGCATCTTAACTTGAGAGTAACTGATCATAGCTCCTATGTGGGTATGATAATTTTTCTTTCTCTCTGTTACATCACAATATGTGGTCTTTAACTGAATTTACTTTTTTTTTCAGAAAGATTTTTGTAATATCTCAAGTCTTTCTATTGTGTACTTTTTGTGATTTAAAAAAAGTCACGAATAGTGCAAAGAGGGATTTCTTTATTTTATTTAACTTTAAACTTTAAATAATAATAATATTAGATTTTACGCTGTCTTATCAAGAGCTAGAAAAATTTTGATCAGTTCAAATTTTTGAAATTTGAAAGTAATAATGATGTGCTTGGTGCTTGGTGCTTGGTGTTGCATCTTTATTCTTATAGTAGGCATGGGCATCACTGAAGAAACATTTATGAACTTATCCCTTGTTGCGTTTCAAAAAAGAAACTAAATTTTTGATTAAACTTATTTTATTGAATCTGTGGTTTTTAAATTTTTAAAATGCTAATGCCTCAGTTCAGTGATTCAACATTATGGGTTCAGTAACTGTATAATACATAGTTGCTGAATAATCTTTCAATTGTAATAGTTTTATTTTGGTCGGTCTTAATTATTTTCAATTATGTTAGGTAAAGTTTTTCATTCGTTGTACTGTGGTCTGTCTGTCCGTTTTTGGACTAATACTGATTTCGTAGGTTCTGGATTTTGATATTTAAAGTTTTCTTGCGGTCCATGCACAAACTACCGGTTTCTTAATCTTTCTCCAGTTCTGGCACCTCAAAAATGAACTTCAAGAAATTCTTTGTCCATTGTGTCACAAACTTCAGTCGACAAATATCAGGGATTTTTTAGATTTTTAAATTTTCAGTTTGTTTGCGGTGAATATTTCATGATAGCCAGTAAGAGTTTCTTTTATATCTCGGTGACCATGCATTTCTATCTTGGTTTGCTTTATAATTTGATGAAATGTTTGGTAATTGCAGAGTTTTGGTGTTGATTTTGATAATTTCACTCCTGCAATCGGTTATAAGAGGGAAAGTTAGCCTTCTCATCATTTTCCCTCTCTTTCTTTCCTTAATCCTTCACTCATACTGAAGATGTATTGGAAACATGACTTTCGCTTATACTTCTATTAATGAATGTTATTTCACAGTGCGTAATCAGCATTAGAGCATTATTTATATGCCTTCAACCAATGAAAACTACCCAATCATTGTAATCAAACGTGCGTGCGTGTTTGTCTGACATTTCACACGTATATTTCACTATAGAAATTGGGTAGCTTTCAGTTTTTTCTTGGAAGATAACAGATAACAATTGAGAATTTTCTTGATTGCAAACTAACAGGCATATTTTTACTCACCAATTAATTTAAAGTTATATATGAGCTAATAGCAAAAGATCAGGTAAGTGCAGCATATGAAAATTGTGACGTCATTTATACAAGAACATGCTTAATATGCCTTTATAAAATGATGAAATAAAAGTTAAAAAAAACAACGATATTCCTAACGAGTTAGTGCTGGCATTATTTTCATCAGAAAAAAAAGAATTTAAGAAATGAAAATTGAGCTATCGTTACGTAATACGGAAGAGGTGTACATTTTCAAAAATAAATGATGAAAGAAACTAATGAATAGTTTTTGTGATTAATATTTCTGAACAATATAAGTTTTACAAATTAAAAGTAACATTTATAAATTCCTTAGTAATTTGTGGCCCAATTTGATCTATTATAAAATATTCAATGAAACTAAAATAACGGAGGAATGTATGAGTAAGAAAATGGATGGGTGATTATTTCAGAAGCAAGAAAAAGTAATTTTAAAAGCTTAGAAAAAAGGAAGTGATATAAAGATATGATAAATATATAATGGATATAAATAATGTCAAAGTGAGCCAAAAAAAAATCAATTACATTTTTTTGTTTATCCCCCATCATCCTACTCTTCCCCAATACAACCGTCCATAAATCTTGAAAGGCTTCATCTCGAGTTCCAGTACTACTTTAGCACTAACTTATTGCTGCCTCTTATTTGCTCCTATTATTTCAAATTACTAAGATTTCTTCAAACTTTCAAACCATCTTTTTTTTAACTTTATTATTTTATTTCATTAATTTTCACTTTCAGGAGATAATTTTTGGTTGTTTTTATCAAAGAAAGTTGTCATGTTCAGGCAAATGTTAATTATCGATAACTTATCTGGTATAACAATTCAATTACAGTTACGCATATTAATTCAATTACTCTTTATTCTTCTTTTATTGCTATTTTCATCAAAAGCTATCTATGCTATCAGCATTTGCACACAACCTGAAATGGCTTGCGGTGCGCAACTTCGTTCATATCCATTGCTTCGATTAGAAGAGGAGGAAGAAGCTTCCGGAATGTTGAATATTGAATCAGCTATGAATGATTTTCCGTTATATGATGAATTTTTTACACCCAAACGTATATTTGATTTTTCAAAAATTGCTAATTTAACTGATGAAAGAATTTGTGAATGTTCAAATGAAACAAATTGTCAGCTAAATGAAGAAAATTTTATCAAATTAGATGAAATGATTACGCTTATATTTTGTGATCCAATCAATAATATATTTCATCGTTCATGTCACGGAACACGAAGTTTAATTCGCATTATTGGTCGAATTGATGAATCCGGTGAAGCACTAACAACTGTAGTGAAAACATTTCTCTTCTGTAAATGTGAACGAGGCTATCGACGAATTCGTGTGGAAGCTTGGTTGAATCATTTATATGCATTTATTTATCGATGTTTATAGAGGGAAAATTTTTAAATTCATTTCATGTATATTTCTTTTTGTTTTTTGTTTTTCTTTTTTTTTTTTGGTGACCTATTATTTATTTAATAATTAACAGTAGTGTTTGAATTTAAGTTTAACATCGGTGGGTAGCAAATTGTAAGGTCAAATTAGTATTAGTGATAGCGTATAGGTACAAAATTAGCACTTCTTCAAATTAAATTTAAAAAATTATTTTAAACTGAAATTGTCATAAACGATTTTAATGTTGTAAACTGTAATAAATCCTGCGCCAGAATACAACAGTGTAAATGCTACATAAATTCTAATTAATTTAATTCGAAAATTTTAATTTTTATTTTAACAAAAAAAGTGAACAATGCTTTTTTTTTAGCTGTATCGAAATCTGACAGTGTATTATGCAATTTATTTTTATATATTTCTGATAATCATATTCTTAAAATTTAGCAAATTAATCTTTTTTTCCAAAATTAAAAAAGAAAATCGGGAATTTATTAAATTACTCAGTATT